CATCTCAGTGCTTTATTTAGTTCCACTCTGTCTCAGACCAGATTCTGCTCCTCAGAATCCTATTTGCTGCATCGGGTCAGAGCTTGAGAACTTTGAACACTTTGCCCCCTTAATTTGTGCTTTGTCAGTCCTTTGCTGGTGTCTCCACTGTCAAAGCCAATGATACGACTCTCTCCCAAGAGTAAACCACCCATGCCTCTCACACCTGCCTCATCCTCAGTTCCAGCCCAGGCCCTCTGCTCCTACCTGCCTTTGACACCCTTTCAAGGAGGTTACCTTGCTTCTCTAACCATGCAACACCTGCCCAATATTTCAAAGCCATTGAGAAAACCTGAACCAAAGTGTTTGTCCAAGTGATTTGTAAAATATAAAGAGCCAAATTTTCACTGCATCGGAAATGCCCTCATTGATCTTATGGAGAAGAGACTTTATAAATATGAATTTAAGAAAAATATTTGCTTTGCTTGCCATAGTTGGCCTATATGATGTTTTTCCCCAAAAGTCTGAACAAGGAGGCGGTTCCTTACCATCACCATCTTAGAAGGCCGAATAATTTCCTTATCATTACTCGCTTATTGAAGTGCCTGATGCCTATTATTTCACTTTTGGACTGAATATTGATGAATGACACTTGAGTATCTCCCAACTATCCAGAGAACTGAGGGAAAGAACAGGGAGCAAGGATTTAAAAAGAGTAACAAAATTCATCACCTATCATTTCATTTAAGGATTTAATTGTTTAAATTAACATTGTATGTTGATTTCAGATGCATCATGTATCATTGTCATTTATAACAACAATGTAGTGTAGCTCCATGTATGTGCCCTGTGATGACATCAATTTATTTTAATTTCTATGTGTCACGGTTTCTTGGTTTCTTTGTTTCTTTATAAAATGTAAAGAAATTCATTTGAATTTAGATTTTGTTTTGGGTTTTGCAAGCCTTCTGCCATTACTTTGCTCATCTGAAAAAAACAAATATCTGTTGAGTTCCTGTCATGTGAAAGTATGAAATACCTTTTTATGAGATAAACCTGCTTAAGACATGAACATATTTTTGCTAAGCAGTCTGTAGAGTAGAGAACAAAAGAGTGTCTCTAAATGCAGCTGAAGGTGAAGGCTTCATTGAGCTTTGAATAGCGAAGGGTAAACACAAGCCACACTGGAGAATACATGAAAAGTGAAGCGAACATCCCATCCCAAAACTGGCCTGAGTCCAGAGAGGAGGAAGGGCTTTGAGGACATGGATGGTGAGGGGAGTTCTCAAGTCTCAACAAAAACTCACTTGCACAAGAGAAGGGACAGGAAGAAACCATGGCAGAAACAGCAGTGTCACTGTACAGGAAAAGTCGGAATGAAGCTGATGGCCTTGATCTTATCTTCAAAAAGGCGTTCTTTGAACTACGCCCAGCCTCCTTCCGAGAAGATTAGAGTTTCCTTGTCTCCCTGTGCTCTCTATTCACAAACCATCTTTGCAGCTTTCCCAGATCCCTGAAGCTTGTCAATGTTATCAGAGCTTTAAATTTAAGAGCAGGCACACGAACAGACTCCCAAAGTAGATTTGTCTCCTAAACCTGACTTTAGTTTCTAACAGACAGTTGGGAATGTAGTGATTCAGTAACCCAATGATGAGCCAGACTTGGGAATGAATGACATCTTTGTTATTACTTGATCAAGTACTATTGATACTCAAATTTATGTTGATTTCAGATGTGTCATGTATCATTGTAATTTATAACAACGATATGATATATAACTCCATGTATGTGCCTCGTGATGACGTCAACTTTATTTCACTGTCTCACAGTTTCTTGGTTTCTTTATAAAACATAAAGAAATTCATTTGAGTTTAGGTTTTGTTTTGGGTTTTACAAGCCTTCTGCCATTTGCTCATCTGAAAAAACAAAAACCTAGTGGTTCTTTCCTACTTTTCAGAGGTGTCATGAGGATTAACATCTTGTGAATATAAGTGCTTTAATAAGCACAGTTACTTTAAAATCCTTTGCAGATGTTAGTATGTTGCTTGCTGAAAGAGTAGAATCCCACAAGGCCTGCAGAACAAACAACACATTCCCCTGAATCCTATAGTCTATAGCCCACACTTTAACATTATACAGCAAGACCCTAAAAAACAGAGTAACTGTGAACCTAATGTGGAACCAGAATCCCACCCTGCATGAAGTCAGCCTTTTCCCTGTGTAGGTTTCCTGATTCTAGGAGGTCAGTGAGTCCATGGGGGTAAAGTGGCTAATTAATTTTCCCTCTGTTTAAAGATCCCAGTGTATGGATGCCACAATTTTCGTGATATTCTCCCCAAAGCCTGTCCCACGGGACTCCCCAAGGAATGGAGAATTCATGTTGAGCAGGATGAGTCTTCTGCCTTGGGAGGGACTGGAGTCCCTCCAGCTTCCATCTGTAAAATGCATAATATACATCATAGTCTTTTAAAAGCTTGTTTTCATGTCGTGCTTATTATAAAAAGAATGGAGGGAGAAAAAAATCTCTTCTATTTAGGGATGTTCCATTTAAACTAAATCCTAGAGCTTAGAGTAAGGATGTAAACTTTTGCATGTAGATAGAGAGAGGGATCTAGATCTCTGGGTTTCCAATTTTTTTATTCTTTAATGCACATTTCTAGGTTTATAATTTTTCCACATCTTAGATATATTTTTTAAAAGTTTATTTGTTTATGCATACAGAACTGGGGCTCAGGCCAGAGGTGCAGGGTGGTGAGAGGATTCACCAGAGACAGAGTGGGGAGCAGAACAGGCAGATTTATAAAATATACTGCTGAGGGGAGCAGTGGACAGACAGGAAAGGTCTGCTGCGCCATGTGGGTCACCTCCCTGGCCGGTGATTGAACTTATGGGGGATTGAACTCATGCTGAAGTGGCTGCAGCTGGCTTCCTAGTGTTGTGCTTTAACATGTTGTGCCACCAGGGAATGCCAGATACTTATTTTTAAATCACTGCTAATTCAGCTCATGTGGGCTTGTTTCTATTACAGTAGTATTGGAAACCACTCAGGATGGATGGATCATTTCTGTATGAAAGCTTGTAGACCCAAATTCCTAGATGGAAAAACATTCTTGAAACAGGAATACTATTATTCATCATCTCTTCAATCCATTCAGAGATTAACCATTCCACATGGAGCATATAAATGGAAGCTGGTGTCCTAAGATACACGGGCTCCCTCGGTACCTTAGAACCCCTCATTAATGCAAAAGTGAAAATGAGATATCAGTACCCATCAAGGTTTATTATCCTTGAAATTCTCAAAATAAGAAAGTGGTATTTTACTTCCTTGGCTGCCACCTAGTGGTTAATAATGTAGTGTCAGTAAGACATCTAAGCCCTCAGAGGATAGCTGCCTGTCTTTAAAACTAAAGCAACACATAGTTAAATAATTAAGGCATGAGGCCATCAGCCTTTATGTCATTCCCTTTCCTGTTTCCTGCTCTGTCATTTTATGAGGATGATGCAATTCTGACTTTTCCATGAAAAAGAAAACTGGTTCAATTATCAAATATTGATTTAGCACTGTTAACTGTACACAAGTCCAAAAGGGTAAGCAAAACCAGGTCCTTACCTTCCTCAAAGGAGACATATGAAATTAAATAACCTACTAAGTGCTTTTAGAAAGCAGGTAAAGTAACTAGATAGCGAGAGGAAAAAAAATCTGTATTATTGAAAATCAAAAAAGGATTTTGAGTGGTGAGTGGGACCAGACAGACAAAGAGGGAAGCACATAAGACATCGGGTAGCTGAGGGTTTGTACTGGGAAACACTGAGAACTAGGTCAGGAAGATGCAGGAGCTAGAAACGAGGGGTCTTTTGACAAGGTACTAGGTAACTATTAGCAAACAACCTCAAACTCTCAGAGGCATTAAAAAATCAGTGCTTATTTCTTTAAAAAAAAAAAACCCACATTTATTTATTTATTTATGCATACAAGAACTGGGATACAGACCAGAGGTCCAGGGAGTGAGAGGATTCCATCAGAGACAGAGTAGGGAGCAGAACTTAGAGTGAAATGCACTGCTGAGGGGAGCAGCCAGTGAGACAGGAGAGGTCTGCTGCGCCATGTGGGTCAGCTTCCTGGCAGAGATCCAACTCTGGCTGCAGAGGCTGCTGATAGCTTCATAGTGCTGCACTTTAACCCACTGCACCACCACAGAGGGTCCACTCAGTGCTTATTTCTTTCTTGGGACTGCAGGTAGGCTGGAGGCACTGGGCCTTATCTGTCTCAACCTCTGCTGGGAACCTTCTGGGACTGGTATGCTAACCTCAGAAGGTTCTTGTCATGTCACTAGCAGAAGGAAAAGGAGAAACACGTAAACCTCTTAAGGTCAAGGCTTAGAACAAGGCTTCTGTCTCCCCTCCCCTCCGCACCCTGCATTCTATTAGCTAAAGCAAGTCACAGGGTTGAAGCTAAGTTAAGAACAAGGACACATCATCCACAATTTTATTAAAAAAAAAAAAATACCTTGTGGCTTCACTGGGGCTGGCGACAGGGTTCCAGTATGGAAAAGTAAATATACCCACAAATGTGCTTACTCTACTTGGAGGGAAATCCTAAACCAGATCCAATCGCATGGTAGGGATTGAAAGGCATAGCTGAGGGGCTCTCCGTTGAGACCAATAATATCAGCAACTTCAGCTTCGATCACTGATAAATCAGTGAACATCTGCCTTCTTGAGAGCTGTGTGTATCCTAACCAAAACCAATACTGACTGGGCTATTTTACAATTATCTTGACTAAGTTTCTACTTCTAAGGGCGGTTTTTAATTGGGATCTCGAATGCTAAGTGGACATGATCTAGCCAAATCAGCAACTGAGAAGCATATGCACCTCTTCAAATTATGATTATATTCTTAATCTAAAGTTCACATCTGAACCTGAGCTGAAAAATTGCTCATGCCTCCATACCAAAGAATATGCAGTAAGAAAAGAAAAACCATCTCATTACTCCATTTTTTTCCGTGTTATTTAAAGACATGCAAAGCCTCGAGAAGCTCCTGAGAGATGCTGTAGTCTATGGCCAGCCTCGAATTCGCAGAGCTTGGAAAAAGATTCTCATCCTGGTGGAAGGCATCTACAGGTATGTGAATAACCAGAAACATTTTCATACACGAGGCACCAGCATGTGACAAATGGAGAAAGACTGACCTCTCGTAACTGCTGGGGAAAATGAGCAAGATATAGGTAGAGTTACGCGACGCCACCAGAACTACTATCAGGAGCTGTCATGCTTTGATCATCTGTCATTTCAGCAACTGCTGCCATGGCAGAGCACCTTGGAGGTTGGTATACTGTGAAGATGTGCTCAGAAGCCTCCCCATGGGGCATCGCTGACCATCCCTTGGTTGACTACTTGCCTTTCCAGCTTTAGTGGATGTTATTGCAAATGGACCCTAACTGGATAGTGCACCCAACCTCCATTTGTAGAATGTGGGCCAATAGATGGCATCAAAATATAAAAGATTGTTCCTTTCCTCAAGGTAGTGCTGATTCTGAGCATAATTCTCAATCCAAGCCTCAAGGAGGAGGGAGGAAGGAATAGTCAGCATCTGAAGGTCTGCTTGGATCTGACATTCCCCTCCTCTTTTTAAGCGGAGCAGACAAAACACCCACTAAGCCACTCACAGCTGCACTTTTATGTTGCCTGTTGTGATTGAATTTACTTCATTTGCTGTCTAAATCAATTATTGCTACAGAAATGGAAATTGCCTCTAAGCTTTTGTTGTGTTGGATGCTCTAGTCCATGAGGTAAGGAAACATTCTCAGTGTTCACCCTTAAATCAATTCTCCAATATTTGTGATGTTTGAGGAATTGACAGAGTTGTTTCCTATGAGACAATAATAGAAAAAGTGAGAAATATTGAGAGTGGGAGCTTAACTTCCCAAGTAGGAGGAGTGTGGGTGCAAAAAGATTTGAGAACAGTAGTGTTTCTTTCAGCTAGTTAATCTAATCATTCCCCAGGTGCACATTGTTTGTTATATACATAAGCAATAGGAGCAGAAAAAAATTGTTCCTATTCCTTTTGGAACAAAGAAGCAATTTCTCCCAAATTGATAATAATACTATGGTATTAAAAACACAGTAGCGGCCCTCCCTGGTGGCACAGCGGGTTAAAGCACTGCACTAAGAAGCTTAAGCCACTTCCACATGAGTTCAATCCCCGCCTGTCCCGGAGGATATCCACATGGTGTGGCAGACCTCTCCTGACCCACCCGCTGCTCCCCTCAGCAGTGTACTGCGTTGATTTGCCTGTTCTGCTCCCCGCTCTGTCTCTGGTGAACCTCTCACCCTCCGCATCTCTGGCCTGTACCTCAGTTCTGTATGAATAAATAAAATCTTTAAAAAAAAAAAAACAAAAAAAAATGCAGTAGCAAACCAGTATCACTTTGCTTTTCCTCTACTCCTTAAGGCCCCAATGCCTGGTGCTAGTGCTATTGTTTGGTTGCAAAGTTGGCATTTCCAGTGCTAAGTAACTGATGTTCTATATCACCTGTCAACCTCCTCAGACCACCCCAAAAGAATTTCCTACTTATGAAGTCTTTGGGATCACCCTAGACCAGTATTCTCAAGGTGATTTCTCCCCACAATCCACCCTGACCCCAAACACATTTGAAAATTTTCAATTGTCATCACTGCAGTAGTGTCCTACCAGCATGTAGTAGGCAGGACCAGGAGTGTTACCACAGGGCGGCCAGGGCACAGGAAAGTCCCTACAACAGACTCATTTGACTCAAAATAGCAACAGTGTTATGGTTGAAAACCCAGCAGTAGAATAACTTAGCTACTCACTGGCCCTGAACTTGTTATTTTTAAGAAACCTTCTCATATTAACTCTGGGCTGTCACAACCTCAAGCAGAAGTCTTTCTTTCTGTGTGATGTGTGCCAGCTGCCAGCCTGGGAAGGGAGTTCTTATCTAAACACCTGTCATTCAGGCTAGACGAAAGGGAGGGCAGACCTGCTGAGGGAGAAGAGACTGGGCATCTCTTTGAACCAGAGTAGACAGAACCCACTTCAAATAAACAGATCTTGCTCCCACCAAAGAAAAGTTGCTTTTAAAGCACTTTGATCATGGTTGAAATTAAGTGGACCACCAGCACTTTATGGTCAAATATTTCCATCAGTTACACAGAAAAACTATTCCAGCAGCAGGGCTTGTTAATAGTTATGTTGGGCTTGGACCCACAGTGATATCAGCAGGACAGGGGAGCTGGGTGTAGACTTCAGGCTCCATGCCAGTTTGACACCAAACCACAACTTAGACTTCACTAGTACAGTGACTACTCTGTTATCTATTGCTATAAACAAATCACCCCAAAGCATAATGATTTATGCAGAAGTGAGTCATTACTTCCCAGGCTACTGTGGGCTCTCTAAATCAATTGGGCAGCTCCACATGGTGTTGGCTGGGGTCAGACAGAGGGTTGCATTCAGCTGGGAGTTCAGCTGGGGCTGGAACATCCAAAATGACCTCACGTACACACGGGCTCTTGGGAATGTCTACGGTGTCTTGTTCTCGTCTCTCCTCTGGGGGGCTTGCTCTATATGTTGGCTTTCTCGTTCAAACATCCAGTCAGACTTTCCTGGCAACATGGTGGCTGGCTCCTAAGAGAACAAAAAACAAAAGCGATTGACCTTTTAATTACTAGATCTGGGACTGGTACAGCATTACTTCTGCCTCAGACTATTGTATAGTTCCTCACAGGTCAGTCCATATTCATGAGGAGGGGGAATGAACCTCACCTCTTAATGAGATGATTGTCTCATGCAGGAATGGAAGGACATGCAAGCAGCCATCTTGGGAAGCCCTCTACCACTGTGCTTGGTCCACTTGACATTTTTCCAGAGTGAAGTTTCTACTTCCCATGACCTTTCCTTCACAGAGATGTTCCTTTTATCACAGATGCCCAGGAATCTTATCCTTGAATGATCTGTGATTTTATTCTCTTTCATAGACAGGAATCAGGGCACCTCATAGGGCTTGGGACCTCCTGAGATCAGGCTATAAGGTTAGAGCCCAGAGAACAGTTTGAGAACATACAAGCTCTCCTTTTCTAGCACCAAACAAGGAAATTATTTCCCACAATTTTTTCCAAAAGGCTACAGTTAAGAATGTGAATTCAATAGTTGACGAATATATTTCTACTCTTTAGAGCTGTACTGTGGAACATGCCTTGTTAATATCAACACACATCCTCCTTTACATTTTCATTTAAAGATTTATTTTTTCTCTTGCTTATGTTTTGAGATGGGCAAAGTCTTCCCTCCACAGAATTCACATGAATCATTTTTGTCATAACTCTAAAAGAGAGCAATCAGTGAAGTTGGAAATTTTATCAAGTATCAAGCCATTTACTCAAAGAATTGAAGTCATTCAGCTCCACAAAATATTGTAAATTTAAGGTTTGAAAATTTCAGTGATTGACTCTAACCTATTGTTTGGTTTAAAAAAAATCAAAGAATAAAAAAATTATAATTACCTTAATTTTAAAAAAGATGTATTTATTTATGCATACAGAACTGTGGTATGGGGACAGTGAGAGGATTCACCAGAGACAGACTGAGGAGCAGAACAGGCAGATGGACAAATTACACTGCTGAGGGGAGCGGTGGGTGGGGCAGGAGAGGTCTGCTGTGCCATGTAGATCACCTCCGGTGCGGGGGATTGAACTTGCACTGAAGCAGCTGCAGCTAGCTTGCAGTGCTCAGTCCTAACCCGTTGTGCCACCAGGGAGGGCCCATTACCTTATCTTTTAATTAGTCTTAGTTCCTGGTTTTCTCTCTTTCCACCTTCCTTTCTTGTCTGAAGTTATACTTTGGGCCTACCACAGCGATTTTTCCACCATGTAAGTTGGCAAACTGTTGGTTTAATTCCCTGTCCAGCCAGTGGATAATATGGTTTATATGTGGAGGAGAAGGTGCTGAGAGGGAGATTTCAAAAATGAGTCTTGTCACTTAGCTAATACATGATGTAATAAAGAAGATATAAAGAAATTATTCACCAGCTTGCTGGTTTAAGAATAATTCAAGCCCTGCACAGGGCTTCAAATTAACTAGTGGAATTATCTTTACCTATGGTGTATTTTAGTTGTTTTTCTTCTATTGAAGTCAAAGGAAAACACAACCTTCCATTCAGAAAAAAAAATAAAACACTGTTCTTGTTTTCTTATTGTTTTTGGCACTGCATTTTTTGACAGCAATCCATAGGAATAACATAGATAGCCTTTATATGCATGTACCAAACTCAATATCCCACTATAGGAAAAGGTTCCATTCAAATTTGGTCACATTGAGAAAATGAAAACTTAGTGTAGATGAATATAACTCTTTGTAAAAGCTGAGTGCTCCCTAGGACTCATGTGTGCCCTGCATTAACTCTAGAAATCAGCAGTATCGTAAAGTCATTAATCTTAGAGAAAGAAATATAAACCAGGTGGGCAGACTCTTAAAATCAGCTAAACCAGCCCCAGTGAAGGATGGCTAATTAGCTGCCTTCAGTGTCTGCAAACTGTTCAACATTAACTCTGGTTCCTGCCAGATTCAGGTCCAGAACAAAGAATGGCCCTTTGTGACACATCAGGTTTTTAACATATTTCTGTTACCAACTTACAACATTTTAAGTATGGGAAGAAAATTCTAGAATTTTGAGGGCATCTAGCCATTTATTGTGTGTGACATCCATAATGGCATCCACATGCCTTATTCCAGAAGATTCAACACAGGGCTATGTCAAGGATTCCCAGTTTCTCAAGTTAGGGTTCATTAGAACAAGAACAACCCTGTGCATACTCTGTGTCAGGCATACAAGCTACAGTTATTGCTATCATTACAGAGACCTTTGGGGAAGGTCCCATCATCATGTGTATGTTTCACATGAGGAATCTAAGGCAGGAGACATCACAGACGTTGCCCAAATCCATGGGTAGCAGGTAGCGTGCTACATGCTCAGTTCAGCCATCAGGTGACCCTGCTAACCACCACAAACTGGCATAAGAGAAGCGTCAACTTGGTTTTCCTTTCATTAAGATGTAAAAGTCACTCAGAATGACCTTGTGAAAAGTACAAATGCAATAAGCTGGACTTAATTAAAAGTGAAAGTGTGTGTGCGGCCAAAGGCTCTGTCAAGAAAATGAGAAAACAAGCTGCAGTCTGGCAGAAAATATTTACAAAAGACACAGCTGATAAAGAGCTACTATCCAAAATGCATAAGGAACTCAAAACTCAACAATAAGAAAACAGTGCAATTTCAAAAATAGGTTAAAGACCTTAACATACACCGCTGTTATCATAAGTAATGTGTATTGTAAATGTGATTACATATAATACATACATACACACACACACACATATATAATATAAAAGGAGAAGTACAGGTGGCATATACACAGATGAAAAGATGCCCTACATCATCCACCTTCAGGGAAATGCAATTAAAGCAATGAAACACACCTCTATTAAAGACCAAATCTTGTAACAATGTCAACAAGAGAGACTGAAGTGGTTATGGGCAAACAGCAATGGGAACTGTTGGTGAGAAGGTGAATGATACAACTTCAGTTGGCAAATTTGATGTTTCCAAATAAAATTAAACATTCTTTTCCAAATCATCCAGCAATCTCACTCCTTGACATTTATGAAAAGCAGCTGAAAGCTGGTGTCCACACAAAAACCTGCTCATAGATGTTTATAGCACCCAAATTCCTAATGGCCAAAACTTGGAAACAACCAAGACGCCCTTCAAAGTGAAGGGATTATTGTGGAATTCAGTTACCCACAATGAGGTATTTTTCAGCACTAGAAAGAAAAAAGCTAACAAGTCATGAAAAGGCACGAAGGAACCTTAAACGCATATTTTGAAAGAAGCCCATCTAAAAGGCTATGTACTGTATGATTCCAACTCTGACATTCTAGAAAAGGCAAAATTCTAGAGACAGTAAAAAGATCAGAGGCAGAGAGGGGTGGTGAGTAGGTAGAAGGCAGAAGATTTTTATCCTTAACTGTATGAAAACATGATGACAGTTATGTCATTGCACGTGGGGTCAAGCCCATAGAATTTACAGCATCAAGAGTGAATTCTAAGACACACTATGAAATTTAGGTGATAATGACATGTTAATGAAGTCTCATTGATTGTTACAAATGAGCCATCCTGGTGGGGGACATTGGTAATGGATGGAGCTGTGCGCATGTGGTGCAGGGGCCATAAGGGAAATCTTTGTACCTTCTGCTCATGGTTGCTGTGATCCTAAAACTGCTCTATAGAAAGCACACAAAAATGCTGCCCTTGATAGATGTTCTCCACTCAGATCAACGACCCACTGGTCTCAGTGACTGAATAGCCATTTGGACTGTTACCTGAATCAACCACTGAAGTTTATTTTATTTTATTTTAAAGATTTATTTATTTATGCCTACAAGGTCTGAGGTGGGGGTGGTGGTGAGAGGATTCACCAGAGGCAGAGCGGGGAGCAGAACAGGCAGACTGAGTGAAGTACACTGCTGAGGGAAGCAGTAGGCCAGTCAGGAGAGGTCTGCTGTGCCATGTGGGTCACCTCCCTGGTCAGGGATCAATCTTGTGTTGAAGTGGCTGCTGGTAGCTAAATAGTGCTGTGCTTTAAACCATTGCACCACCAGGGAGGGCCCCTAAGTTTATTTTTTAATACATTAATTTTAATAAATAAGCTAATTAGAAGGGAGAAATTCAACTCTGTTCGCATCAATTGATTATTTCTTGAATGAAACTGGTGGGTTGCTTGAATTGTTTGCCAGTTCCATTGTGTGATAAGGGCATGAGTCTGTGTTTTTATTGAACTTACCTGTCAGTTCCATCAAAAATGTGTGTGGCAGAGACAGAACTTACAAAGTTCTCTGAAAATTGATCAAAAGCAAAAATTCTTGTAAGTCCATTGAGTTTCAGAGGTGCCATTAACTATCAAATTTAATTTTACTTGCATGTCTACTTTATATTTTCCCTTTGCTTGAAATCTTTTTGCAGTTTATAAATCATGAAAAATTAAGCACTGAGGACTAAAACAAAAGGTTTCATCTCTGTTTCTCAGTGTTATCCCCACTTAGCAATTTGAGGATTCCCTGATAGAATGCAAATTCTGAGCCTACCTTGGACCTACTAAGTCAGAAATTTGAGGGGGTGGATAGGGCCCAGTAATCTGTTTTAACAATGCTATCAGGGGATCATAATGTTCCCTCAATTGAGAACCATTCTACTAAAGGAACAGCAGGAAGAGCTAACTGCTCACAACTCAAATAGAACTTTCACTTCCTTTGACCTCTATGCAGAAGTTTCTTATTGTATTTTGATTAACATTAATCTTAAGGTTCTTTTGTGTGTTTTTATCTCCTTTAAAAAATATTTGGTAGTTCAAGCACTTCTTTAAGTCAAATAGAGCTGGTGGAACAGACAATGGCAGTTTGATAAAAATGGGATCACTATAGAGCAGTTTGATCAAAACTAGCAAAATACCTAGAAAACAAAATGATCCATCCAATTGCAGTAGAAAACTTTATAAATAACTTGGTCATATGCATTGGTCTAATAATTGGTTATTTGGGAATTAGCTATAGTAAGTCAAATGCATTGAATAATTTATATTCAGGTAAAATATTTCCAGATTAAAAGGCACAAAATGATGTAAAAAAATATTATATTAAAATTTAAAAATGTAAAGAAAAAAAGTATTGCCAGATTACTCTTACAAGCTGGGAAGAGTTGTCTCAGTCAAATAATCCCTGAGCTTCCATGAGGGTGCAAATGAATGATGAGCATTTCTCCTTATGCCCTAGCATGGAAGGTTCCATTGTGCATCTGCCTCAGATTGTGGCTCTAAAGAAGAAATACAAGGCTTACCTCTACATAGATGAAGCTCACAGTATTGGCGCTGTGGGCCCCACGGGTCGAGGTGTTGTGGAATTCTATGGAATGGACCCCCGTGATATTGATGTATTAATGGGCACATTCACCAAAAGCTTTGGATCCTCAGGAGGTTACATAGCTGGAAGAAAGGTAAGAGAGCCAGCTCTGTGTGGGTACTAAAAATCTAAATGCCTTGGAATGCATTTTGCAGATTCACTCTGAACTCCCTTAGAGCTTTATTTTAGTGCACCTCACTTCAATTGATCAGAGTTGCATAACTCCACTGGCTAGATAGCACAGCAAATCCCAGAACAACCAGGCACTTCTAATAGTAAGCTGGAGTGTGTGAAGAGTAATCACTTTAACTCAAAATGACAGCATTAGCAGTGTACATAGGCAAAGACTTAATATAAAAGAGATGGTCAATATCTAAGAAATCTTAGACTTAATATCAGTCTTGTAGACAAATGATGGGGGGAAGGGTTTATGTATTAGAGAAAGAGAATAACCTCTACTGAGCTCCCCAGATGATAAGGGCATGTTACAGAACTATAAATAATGTTTCTGTTATGGCATGAAAAACACAAAGGAGGTAACAGCAAGGGTGAGCACATGTTAGATATCCGGGTCGACCCTGGGTTGCATGTGGGTTTTAAGCATAATAGCAGCCAGAACAAAAGTGAACTTTTCTGAGGTTTTTCTCTCTGCAGAATAATTGTCTCCCACAATTTTGAATAAGCCATAGGTCAGATCTTGTCATCCTCAAATGCCTTACCCAGTGTGCTTTCATTTATTTTTCTAATAGGATTATAATGTCATGTGCTCTGTCATTCCATTGTCAATATTATCAATTAGCAATAAGTACTTAAAAGAAGCTCAAAGAGGAGGGAAAGAGAATAATTCACTGAAATAAAATATCCACAGTTCCAGGGAAACCTCAAAGGGAAATAGGACAGTCTGGATGTGAGTCTTCACCTGCATGCTTAAAAAAAAAAAACTCTGAAAAAGAACCAAGTGCAGGCACATGGAAAAAGTGTTAATTAAAGTTTTATTTACAAGGGGCATGAAAAGAGGGGAAGCAGAAAGAGAGCTCCTACCAATGTGAACAATATATTTCATTATTTCATGCTGGGCATTTGCCCTGCCATAAGATGCATAAATACTTAAAATGGTCAGTTATCTCCATGAACTTCACCTTCGAGTGAGCACAATTTTCTCCCCAGCTCAAAACACTATTTTCCATCCTCCCTCCACTTGCCTGTGGTAATTAACGAGGTAATGCTAAAAAACATAGGGAATGCCCAGGATCTTACAAAATTCAGTTAAATCTGGCGAAAGGTGAGATGTTTTCTTGCTAGATTGTCGAAACAGTGGGATCAGAAGCTCTGAAATCTAGGAGTTCCCTGCGTTGCTTTGTGAGCTTGTGGTTTTGTGATTAGTTTAGCAGCAGCTCTGAGCTACAAAATTTGTAACCAAGCGTAACTTGGTTTCCTGAACCAAGGGCACCTGAATAAACTAAAGCTAGGCGATCCTTACAGTGTTGTCAAATTCGGTAGGCATCACATTTCCCCCTTTGACTTCTTTTATTTGATACCAACTTTCAGCGAAGGCCTGTGGCTAACCTAAAGAAAGAACCAGTTCACTGTGCGCTGTTCTCATACTCTCCTTTCTGAAGCCATTTGGAGGATTTTGAAAGTATATTTTTTCATGTATAATTTCTGTTCATTTGTGAAGATTATTTTTATTTATTCACAAGGTAGAAAAAGCATGTAGTATGCCCATTTTCTTGTTCTTTAAAATACTCATTCTTCAAGTTTGTACCCAGCATGTTACACAGTTCTCCTTTCTCTTCATCCTCCTCCTCTTGCTCTTTCTCCTCTTTCTTTTTTCCTGCCCCTCCATATTACACTGCAGACTCTGAACTGACCACAAGATGGCAGCATGAATTAGAGGTTGGTGGAAGCCCACTAACCTATAGGGAAACCTGCAGCCTAAACAGCAGATGCAAAGCCTAGAGACCATAAGGCAGTTGGCATGATGTGTGGCCATTGAAAAAGTGTCTGTGTGATTTAAAACTCTCAGATACACACTCTTCTACAATGGTTTTGATGATCCTGTGATAAGCCCAGTTAAACTGTGGTTTCCGTCTAGTCTAATGGAACTTAATAGTCTCTGTGACTTTGTTCCTTTAATTTTTTATAATTATGTCAATTTAAATAATGTGTACTTCCCACTTAAGTCTTAGTTTTTATTCCCCTGGACTTTGAATTTTGCTGTAAAGTATTTTCTGAGTTTGGTTTATATTGTTCTTTCTAGTTTATAGCAGATAGGATTGGGGAAATGCTAAAAACTTTTACTTGAAATAAATACTGAGAAAAAAAATTTCTATGTAGTTATTAAGATAATTAGAATACTGCTTGCAGAGTCTCTTATATTTATATAATTTTCTTGAATCTCTTGTATTATGTATCACAATTAGTGCTTAGGAGAGATAATTATAAAATAGAGAGGATCCTAAACCAACAGCTACAAGCCATAAATTAACTATAATCTGTTAAACACACACACTAGGACTTTACGATTTTTTGTAGCCCTAATAATTTCAAGTTCCCTATTCTCATGGGGTTTGAAAATGTTGAGATTTGAAAATACTGACTTGGGTCCAGAAATCTAGAAAAAGATAAAACTGTCTGGCTATCGACTCCCCCTTTTAAATGACAGCATAGTGTCGGCAGGAGAGGACTATTTTCCCAGTAATAGTTTCTAGAAAGCTCTAGAAATCTTCATGAGGTAAGTCAAGATAAGAACTGTGTGTGTTAACTATATAAGAAAAAAAAATTCAGAAAAAACAAGGGGACAAAAAATGGTTTGACCTAATATATTACCAACAAAAACTAAAGATTTTGTCATTGTCTCAGCCTTCCTGTCACAAAATATCCTACAAATTCATTGTTGGAGTTTACTGTCCTAGCTTCAAATTTCTGACCTCAGTGAAACAGCCGCTTAAAAGCCAGAAGATTTTACTTTTGTTTTCTGTGAGTTTGAAGCTGCTGTAGATGAGCTAGGAACAGCCCAACCTGGAGCCTTCTGTACTTTCAAAACTTTTGAGGTGAAGTGTCAGGAAGTGACTTCTCTCCACCTGTCAGGGCTTTCCTACTCAATGACGACTTTGAAGAAAGTCGGAGCTGATGAATCTAGGGTTCTAATGTTCAGTTTTTAATTTTTATTGATCTGGTGGCTGAGGAATGTAGTCAACACTACATGCTCACATTTCTGGGGTCCAAGTGTTTCTTTGGTTTGGGGCCTGAGGCTTCTTGCATGTCTGTTGCCAACTGCTGACTTTCACCATCCACAGACCTACCAGAGACTTACAAGTGAATGAAGCATAGGTAGTCCTCAGGATTCATAGGTTGCAGGGCTGGAATTCTCGACAAGGGAAGTGGGCAGGGAAGCCACATTTCTAGTGCTGTCCCCAGAAGTCTGAGTGCAAAAGAAGGCAGGCCCTTTGCAGAAACCAGTTCCGCCCCATGTGCTCAGCTCTGGCTGTATTTAACAGTCCTTTGAAGTAAATGGGGGTCATGGAATGAATGCCAAGATGTTTATTCTAAAAGCCTCCTGTCTGATTTCCTAAGAAAAGTCACTCTTGCCCTTGAACTCCAGGCCTGTGGGTAGAGAAAATAATCAGGGTTTTGAACTTACAAATGGACTTGGAAACTTCAGTCTAAGAAGACCTCTCACCCACCCTGAAGGAAGACACAACCCAGACTCTCCTTGAGTCTGGTCTTTACCAAAGCCAGTTCCTAATTCATGGCTCATGGAACCCAGTGGGGTAAAAAAAGGGGGAATCCAAACTCAGGAATCAAGACTCTCCTTGATGTTCTGCAGAAGTAACACAAAGAGCCCCACTTTCTGAACCACTTAAGCAAAATTAGCTCCCATCTATAAACTCAGACTGAGAGAAAGTGGACTCAGTCAGAGAAATACGAATATGAGTTTGATATCCTTAGTGTTAAAAGAGACATGCTGTAATACTGAAGTATTTATTCAAGCTGAGAATTCATGTGGCTTTGACTATGACACTTCTCAATTTGTGAAGGAAAACTAGGGGTCAGAACATTGAGAAGGGTCCACTGATATCAAAGGTAGCTTGGTTTGTTTGATTGTCTGATCCTCGTGGGCAGCCCAAGACTAAGAGAACAGTGCTGTACTTGTTCCTCAGAATGCCTCTGTTGCCTTATATTCTTCAGGGATGTTCACCATTCTTCCTTAGTCTCTAAAATTCCACCATTCCATTAAACCTCTTCCTGTTAGGTACCCACCACTATAGATTGTAAGTAAAATGTACCCACTCTTTTCCCTGCTCTCAAGGAAGTTTAAACTCTGGAGAAATAAAAGTAATAGACATAAAATATGTTGAGACTTAGTGATTCTATTTTATGGCTTAGTTCCTAAACCTGGTCTATCTGTGGCCTGTCCTACTTAGGCTTGAATACTCAAATAGTAAATATAAGAGTATATTAGTAATGTTTCCCTTCTCCCAGAAAAATTGGAGCAGTCTCTGTGGGTCAGAGAAAGCACCACAGGGTTAAGTAGAAGTGGGGGTGTTCATCTCTGTGCTTCCCTTTCCCCTCATCTCCACCTCACCCCAAACCTGCTCTTCTGCTTAGAGAAGCAACACAGTGTGGTACTGATGGTAGAACTCTGGTACTAGACTCTGATGCCCCAATTCTGGGGCTACTATTTTGGAGGTGAATTCTTTTCTGATCCTGTCAGTGACTCAGTTATCCCATTCATGAAATGAAGATAAAAATAAACCTGCCTGATAGAGTTATTGTGACCCTTATGAGTTAATGCACGTAAAGTTCTTAAAACAGAGCCCCAAGCAGCCAAAGAATATTGGCCATCGTTTTATCTTCTAGCCCCATTATCTACACTGAGCCACTCAATATGCCAAGTATGGATACTTCTTTCCCTTCTTTTTATTCCTATTACTACCCCAAAGAGGATAGAGAAGTGCTAGGCTGAAAATTCTTGGTTTGAGATTCAATGGGTAACTATATAACTTTAGAATATTACCATCTTGAGAATGAGGACTATGGATTAAAGATACTTCAAGGAGATTTTATGGTTTTGGTCCCTCCCTTCCACCCCATTTCCCAGTTTTTAAGAACTCTCTGAATTGACAATACATTAGTAATTGCTAGAGACATCAGCTGTTCACTGTGTACCAGTTATTTTTCTAAGTGCCATAGATAATATATACACACACATATACACACAGGGAAAGTTTTATACATGGAAAATTATCATTATATATAGATAGATAGATTATATGTCTATGATATTTATATTCCATATACATATATATTGCCATATACATACATACATACATACACACACACACACACACACACACATATATATATATATATATATATATATATATATGGAAAGTCATCATCATTTCATTAGATTTCCTGCCAGATATCTTAACAGTCCCAGGCCATGGGCCAGTATAGATGACTCTCTAGATGGTCTGCCAGGAGGGCCTGAGTACCACCAAATGCCAACTCTGAGACTGTCTCCACTGTGGCCCTAGTTTATTGAAGCTTTGTAGAGAACTCAGCTGTTTCACCTGGTGCCTTCTGTTTGGCCTCAGAATTCAGGATTCAGACACGCATGTGGAAATTCCCTCCCACTGCTAGCCATGAGCATTCCATAGCAGATCAGCACTTTAGTGTTGCACAAAAAGCCCAGTCAGTATCCACTACCCAAGGCATATCTGAATTATCTCATTCTAACCCATACTCTGTTTTCTTTTCCCACCTCTCGCTTCTGCCATCCTACCCACCCCCAAGATTTCTTTTTCCTCTTTATCTTTATTTGTGTTCTTTGATACTTAATCAGTTCCATTCCTGTACTGGAGACACCCTTATCTACTCCAGCTAGCAAGAACTCCTTTCTTCTGCTGCTTTGTAGCACAGTTGCTCTTCATAGTTTTCATGTCTTGTTTTGTTTCCTTCCATTACTTTTCTGGGCACAATCTATTGTAACATGATCAAGGGCAAGAGCCATGTATTATAACCACTGGACACTCTTATTACTCAGCACTTGTACCTGCTAGGTTCCCTTCACCTGTTTGGAAGGTCATTGTCCCTTAGCACATCAGGTTTTGCCTTGCACAGCTCAACTTTGATTTTTCAGCATTCTGCTTCTGTGTACCCTCTGGGTTTTGGAGGGAGAGATTAAAAAGAAGAAATAGAATAGTTTAGTGATTCCCATTGTGAATCAGACCATATTTGAAATAAAAATGTTTGTGCCATGATGGATGGGATGGGACAAGATTTAAGTCTCATCACCAACAGTGAGATTTATGGGCCTTCTTTCTGGATTCCCCTTCTTTATTAAAGGAACTTGTGGATTATTTACGGGCTCATTCACATAGCGCTACTTATGCCACATCCATGAGCTCCCCAATAGCAGAGCATGTCATCAAATCAATGAAATTCATCATGGGACTGGATGGGACCACACAAGGTAAGAAGCTCTGAAGTGACATCATGGCCACAAATTCTCTTCCTAAACCTTTCTCTGTTTCCCTTTTAAGCTATCAATCTCCCCCCTACTCAAATACGTCTTAATGCAAACCAATTTGTCAGTCAATCCATGTGCTAATCATACTAGTACTTCTGTCAGCACCCGCCCACTCCCATGCACCCATAATGATTTACTTCTTAATATAATGATCAAATTTGCATAATTTTATGGATAAGTTATTTTAAAATGAAGCGATAATGTTGGGTGTTTGTCTTCATTGGAATCATTGCTTGTGTTTCTTGCAAACATCAATTTAATATTCCATTTTTCTAAATTCTTTTGTTTTTGGTCACTGTTATTTATTAACTTTATTATAAATTTGTTGTCAGCCAGGAGTTGGAGAGGGGAAACCTACCACTGTCATTTGAGGAACTATGGAAAAATAAACACACTAATAACTTTTCAACTACTTCTATGACATTGTGTCATGACAGCCAAAGTATACAACTTTGCTCAGCCCAAGTGATATTAGCCTTATTTTTGAAAAAATGTTTCATTCACACCTCCTGGTATTCTTTTCCTATCTTTCAGCTCCAGTGTATAGAGATTTTAGTACATTAACACTGGATAAGGCAGTTTTTACTACCGGGCAATCTAGTATTTTTAGTGTCATGAGTTACCCTGGCCCTAAAACTAGTTATGAGCTCTCTAATCCTTATGCCCCACCCAGCTGTCACTAATTTTTATGCCCGTTAGTACCTATACTGTAAGAATCAGTCTGTTTATAGTTAATCAACTTTACAATAATTTTCTTCTTTCCTCTGGATTGATTTATCACTTCATCACAGACAGAACTCACTCTGTTTATCTGATTGATTGATCACAGTTGAGGATCTGAAAAAAATTACATTTAAAGAGTTTGTTCTTTGGTCTTCTATCATCATTTTTCTTTCTGTGACATGGGAATGATTTCCTTTGATTCCATCTCTTAACCTTCTAACTAAAGAATGAATGGCTTATTATTTTTAACCATCTAACTAAAGTTTCTCACTCACTCCTCTTGACATTATAAGAGAAAGAAGATTAAAAATTACAGAGGAGACGATGTCAACTGTCTTTTTTTTTTTTTTTTTAAGACACCAACTAGGAGATTCAGGGAGAAAGGTAGGACAATTCCATTCAAAAGAATGAATAGAGGAAGGTAGTAGAAAAGAAACATGACAGGATCACCAGCTAAGCTTCCGAGGGTTCTGCCTGACTGTATTTTGAATTCAGGGGCACACAGTGAATGATCCTGTGGGACTCATTTATGACAATGCCTGCTTTAAATAAAGTGAACAGGACAGGTTGGGAATACTGCATTCACTCATCTTGTCTGCTGAGATAGTCTGCCTCGCGGGATAGAGTTGCTCAAAGCTCAAAGGGATGCACTACGTCATGCCGGAGCTGCTAACAGGCTCTGCTTCATCCCTGGCCCAATCCACTGCAACAGTGATTGCAACCTTGAAAGGCTTTGTTTTGGGTTGAGGTTGGGGAGTGCTTGGCCAGATCTGTTCCTTGATGAATGTCTTCACTTTAATCTGCAATGCAAAGCCATACGCTTCAAAGAAAGGCAAGCTACAGGAATAAGGTCAGTGTTCCTTTGAAGCCAAGGTTCAAAGATGAAATAGCAGTCCCAGTGAAATGACAATGTTTCTGTACAGCCACCTTCGCTCTGTAGCAGGCTGCTGTTGGAGTTAATGCACACAGGCTGAGGGCTGCAGGCATGCACTCCACATGCACCAAGGTCCTTTTAATCTCCTGGCCTGTCACTCTGTGCAGCACAATGAGCTCAAAGTGGAGATTTGGTTTCCCTATCCTAATGGATATTGGGTGGTCCACAGGCCAAAACAATGCTGTAAGCCCCTTAAAGGCAAGAAATGTGTCTTGCATTAATGTGGTATTCCTCTGAGTGTCAAACTTAGTGCTCAGCTTAATAAATATGTCATGACTCAACTTCCATCTTGCCCGCCTACTTGCATTTAGGTCAGTGTTTATGCTAAACAAGATCGAGGGGATGTTTATATCATAAAACTGGGAGCCGCCAGGAATCAGCTCCACACCAGTTGTGGTAGCTGAAGGGATCTCGCAGGAATTGGGGTCCCTCAGTGATCGGCATTAATTCTGAAAAGCTCAGAAAGTTTGCAGCTCAGTCTTTTTCTTCATTTAGATGTGGTGCAAGCAGCCACAGAAGGGTGAACCCCAAACCATGCTAATGACTCTCCTACAGAAAACAATGCCAATGGTTGCCTTGCTTTTATTTATTTAAGTTTTTGATGGATAATTTTTAGTGAATCAGATATTACCCTTGAGCTCCCAATCTTGACTCTGCCTCTCCACCATGCCTGCCTTCCCCATTTCTGGGAACATTTCACTTCATTGAGAAAGCAAAATTTGCACTGCATGATGAAGAAGGGTATGCACCTGTGCCTAGATGCATGTGACTCAGCCCCCCCCCCCAAGTTACAATTCACTCCACGACTGGCAAGTTGCTCACCTTCTCTTGGCTTCAGCCCTTTCACTGTAAATTGGGGTGTTAGGATGTAATACATATCATGAACTTAGTACAATGTTTGATATAAAAACAGTCAATAAAGTCAGTTATTTGTAACTTATCTGCTTTCCTCCCTCCTCCTCCAAATTTTCCAATAACGTTTAGCTATCCTGGATTTCGCCCTTTCTTATAGACCTCACACCTCCATCAGCAAATCCTACTGTGCATCCTCTGAACATGCTCAGAATCTGGCCACTGCTCACCAGCTTTGCCATTACCTCTATTAACTCTCACTTGAATTATTGACAACCTCAAAACTAACCATCTCTGCCCTTAGATTTTTTTGACTTGTTCTCCATATCAAAGTCAAGGTCCTCTTTTACAAACACTCAGAACACCCATCCACTAGGAACTCTTGAGTGCTTTCCAACATCCCAGTTGTCAAATCTAAACCGGCCTTCAAGGTTGTCACGTTATTAAGTTCTTCCATGTTCACCACTGCTCCTCTTGCTTCATTTACTCCAAGCAGTTGGAATCCTTGCTTTTCCTAGAATGCAGAAAAGACCTTCTGCAGAAAGGTCTTTGCTTTTCTGACCTCTCAAAAAGCTTTGATGACCAAATATCTGCATAAACTCAAGCTCACATTCCCTTCTTTATTCGGAATTATTAGAGGATTAGCTCTATCTTAGATCACACACTCTCTGCTTCATCCCTTGAATTCTCCTTACTTTGTTTTAGCCTTCAGAGCATTGGCAACATCAAGTAAGGTTCTGCGTAATATTTTCCCTTATTAGGATGTGATCTCCAAGAGAGCAACTATTTTATCTATTTTGTTCATTACTCTGAAAGAAGTGTTCTCACAATAATGGGTGCGCCACAAATATTTATTGAAAGAATCCTTCTTCCTCTCCTCTTAGCTCAGCAAATAAGCAGCTGCTATCTTTTTCATAACTCTTGCTAAATTTTCTCTCTTTCCACTTTCTAAAGGCATTAGTCCCCTACTTTTCTGAACATGAATGTGTTCATTTCCTTTATCCTAAAACACCTTCCCTCACTCCTTTTTCTTCTTCAAGCAGATACTAACTTTCTTCTCTCCCATTGCTGCAAATCTTCTCAGGAGTGGCTTTTTCTGTTCTCACTTCCCCTTCCTCCTTCCCCACCAGTGTCCAAGCAGCTCCATTCCATCCTCAGTATGTGCAGTTGACGATGGTTGCCTCTGTCTACCTAATCAGCTGGCTCTTCTCCAGTAGATTGGACTGACTGCTCTGCCTTGCTCTCTTTCTTTAAAGACAGGTTTCCCTTAGCTTGAAGGGAAACTCTTATTTCTTTGTTTTTCTGATTGTTCTTTCCTCTTATCTTTGCCCTCTTTCCCCCACTACATTTGCCAGTATTCCATCCTCCCTTTTACTCATTCCCATGGTGTAGTATTAATACCACCACCACTATTTTCTATTCCTCCATGCAGTGCTTGCTTCTCAAATTAGAATATGCATCCAGTCCATCCCAAATACACTGCTGACCCTACTTCCAGAACTTCTCATCAGAAACACTTGTTGCAGTTTTTATAACCCCCAGTAGTGCTGATGGTGCTGCCTAGGAACCACACTTTGAGAATCATTGATGTTTAATGACCTCATAGCCCCTTCCCTTAGGTCTTCATGGATATTTTTAAGGGTTAGAAACCCTGGTCTTCATATCACCAACAGTCTACCCAGTGTCTGCCCTATAGTAACCTTGGAATACATATTTTCTAGACTGAAGTAAAAAAGAAATGTGCTAAGCCTTAAATGCATTTGCCATGATACAGATGCTGATAAAATATCTGTTATGGATCATCTTGTCATCAAAAGACTCTAGCAGAATCTCTTTTATACTTAATATCCAATGACTTGTTCCCTGAGATTGGCCTCTTTCTTAGAAGTCTGGCCTATGTCCATGTCTAGCTTTGTTCATTACATTTACATGCTAATTATAATGTCATTGATGTCTGAGAAAGTTACCCACATGTCCCCAATCTTTCAAATGAAACATGAAGCAATGGGAGGGAGAAAACAGCTACACATCATTATCTAATACAACTTCTCAAGTATGATCCCTCCATCAGAAGCAGCAGCATCACCAGGGAGCTTATGAGAAATGCAGCAAGCATTTCTGAACGAGAAATCCTCGGAGTGTGACCAGCAATCTGTTTTCATTATTCTTCTGGGTGACTTTGATACAGGCTCAAGTTCAAGAAGCACATTTCTTTGTACAGGAAACAGGTGAGAGGTCTTGTGGTGAGGAAAAGCAAAGAGAATAGAGTATAGAAGTTTGGCTAACGCAAACAGGGATAGAGAATCTAGCAGAAAAAGAGGAGGAAGAACAGGCAGAGGTAGAAGATCTGAAAAAGAAAAGTTAACACATTGAAATCTATTTCTTTAAATCCTTATGCTATATCAACCGTATACACTCAGTTATATCAAGTATA